TTCTATGAATAACAAATAAGCCGTGAAGAGTCAACACGATATGTCTCTGATGAATACTTGGACTTTGTAGAATGCAAAATCCCACAAATCCTCTGGGGATGAATAAAATTGTTCTTTTCTTGTCCATAAAGGATTCGCTGCTTTTTTGCTCAGTGTTATGCTCATTAGCATCGTAAGAATGTCACGGGGTGATATTCACTTGTGGATTTATTTCTTTTATTAAAGATCGTCGTTTCGCAAGGCTGTACGATACATTATAATTATTATATATTTTTAGTCTAATGAAATTGTAAAGAACCATAAAACACCAACCGATCTATGTCATTTTATTAATCATACATGCGTACACCGTAGGCTTTTAACCCCTTGTTCTATCTTCGTCTGAAATTCTATATTCTTACGAGTTCGCTGCATTTAACACTCAGACATGAATGTCAGCGCTGATAGAATTAGGTTACTACATGATATTAAGCTTAGCAGTATGTACATTGAAATTATGAAGGAAGACATTTCAGTAGTACTAAAAAGACGTGGGTGTGAGAAGCAGAGTAGCTTTCACTGAAATCAGAATAGTGTGCAAAATGGAGAATAGTATGACTACTGACGGGGTGGAGGGCCACTGACGGGGGTGTAGTACCAATAACGGGGGTGGAGGACTACTTACGGGGGTGGATGATTGCAAATTAAGGAATATGGACATTGCTTCAGAAATAAGTAATAATGATAATCATTGTAAGGGACGATAGGAATAATGTGACAATTTTCAGAAAAGAATAAAATGAAAACAATTTACTTTTGTTTATTCTAACGAGTGGATATAAACTAATATTCCTGTTAACGGGCGGGAAAATAGTTTGATATTGAGATATTATGTAGAATCATATATTTGAAGTTTAGGGTGGTCAGCTAAATATTTGTGATTATGCAAATAATGATATCTTTATCATTTCATTATGCAGATTGTAGCGATGATTGGGAACATAATATGGAGTTTAATGTAATGCTCATTACCATACCAAGAATATTATAGAGATGTGGTATCCATGATTTTGTTTCCTTTAATAAAGAGCACCTGTTTTTGAGGCGGTCGTAAACTTTGGAAGTTGTATCTCACTGTCAACAACTTTGATATAAATTAACACATTATCATATTTCATTAAGATGTATATTAATGTTAAAATTGTATTAAAAATCCGTGAATTGACTAAAATATAAACGTTAAGATATCGATTGTTCTAGGGACATCTCAAGTTTCAAACCTTAAATTCCATTTTCGTCTAAGATTCTATATTCTCTCCAGATAAATGTCTCTGTTTAATGCCGAATTAAAGACGGCCACAAATGTTAATAGAATTAGGTTTCATGTTAATTTTCTAACTTTGATTTATATCAAAACATCATTATGACTGAGGCTTAGAAGAGAGTACGAAGGAATATGAAAGATATTGTGTAGAATTATATATTTATCACATATGGCACATCATTATGCAGTTTGTTTATACGATTGAGAAGATAGTACAGTGTGAGATATTGCGATATATCACGTTGAGATCAGCATTATGCAGATTGTAGTCGTAATAGGGAAGAGAATAAAGAGTGTGAAATATTGTGTAGAATAGAGATTTTACTTTTTGTTCAGTATTGTGCAGATTTTGGTTGTAATTAGGAAGAGAGTAGTTGGGGGAGGGATATATTAACATACTATAGAGACTTGACATTTAGCACTCTATTAAGTAGATAGTAGCCATCATTTGTAAGAAATCTTAGGAGTCTTAATGAGTGTATTACATGACCATCGCATGTCTGCATGCTTCATCGGAAAGGCATGTATAGATGTCCTTACGTTCTAATGGAAACTTTGAGTTCACATAGAAGAAATATTAGACAACAAATTTGACCTCTATACTTCCTGAAAATCTTGTCATTTTTTTCATTAGCATCAATAACCACGACCACCTTCTTTTACACCAGGGCGGACTTTAATAATGAGCTAAAGGCTGCAAAGTCAGAAACAATAAACCCAGAAAAGACAATGTCGACTTCAGAAAACAAGAGGATGACCAGAGAAAATCTGGGAGCTACAGTCAAGCCTGGGAAAAATTTCGATGCCACGAAAGATAGCGAGCGTTTGCATTACTTTCTAAGTGGCTTAGACAAAACGGCGGTTGTCGATATCATACCGAATCGGAGCAACGACCAGAGGCAAGCTATCAAAGCCAAATTTAAAGACACGTATCAGCAGGTAAGGAACTCATATATACGACGAACAGTGCAAAATCATTATCTAACTATCATGGGCGCTTTAGATTCTTAATGAGTCTTTCTTAAAGACAAGACAGAAAAAAAAACACAAAAGACGCTGTTTACCTCATGTAAAAACAACTATGTAGTTTTGCAAACACAACGTTTTTTGTGCTTTATTTGTTTGTTTTGTCTATGCCTTTGAACAAGCCCCATTAAGAGTCTAAATCGTTGAGGCTAGTTAGATAATAGTTGTGCATTATTAACCGTCCGTTTATTGCATCAATCTCAATCAATCCTTGACAAACGCGGTCCCTTGCGTGCGCTTGAAATGGTTGTTACTGGTCAATTTGTGTGTGTGTGTATATATATATATATATATATATATATATATATATATATATATATATATATATATATATATATATATATATATATATATATATATATATATATAATGTACGGATTGATCTAGAAGGCTACATTTGTGAATGCTTAAAACGGCTACTACTATGAGAGAGAAAAAAGTGTTTGCCTCCTAAATATATCAAAATTACTTAAGAATCTTCTTATAGTGTATTCATTTCGTGAAAATAATGAATAGTTAGAAAGCAGCAACATTTACATTCAAAATATCAATTGGAATTTTAAGATGTACTATTTGTATATACTAGAACTTTTGCTGACTGAATAGTCAAGGAAGAACCGTTCCTTCCAATGGCGTAGCAAGACATTTGCAACACACCCAAACTTAGTTCTGGAGTCTGGTCGCCTCCCGATTCAAAATTCTTTGATGGAAATTCTGAGCACCTACTAGGACTGGCCCAATCAGCGAAGTTTTGAGTTTGATTTGGCGGTTGCTACGCCATACGTTCCATTATTACTGCGGTAGCAATATAGAGCAGTATTAAGCTGCACTTCACATTATCTTTCGCTGCAGAATTTTGTTCTTCATATTTCAATCAATACCAAGATTTTAGCTTGGAATATAGCCTGTCCCAGAGAAACACATTTATAGTCCTTTCCAGCTGCTCTGCTGGAAACCTTCAGCGAAACACAGACAACGTCTACGTGATCTATGTCATTTAGAGTACAACCTATCTCAGTCTTTCACCTACCCACCCAACATCCCAACCCCCTAGCAGCTCTCAGACACCTGAGACGGTTTCAAATTTATATGACTATTTATGCAGCTCTATAGGCTTCCCCAATTATATTCAATGGTTTGCCGACTCTGTCTTAGCGATGTTGCGAAAGCTTTACTAAATTACGTACACTTTTATATATGGTAAGATACACCGTGTCCATACTTGTTTCTTTCTAGTTTTGTTTGTTTATTGTTTTCGAGCAGATTTTCGGAAGTCTTTTTTTGTTTTAAAAATCAAAAGGACAACTTTCTTTTATCCCAAACGCTAACTTTTACTATAATTTGATTCCTTATTTATAGGATCTGCAAAAAGAGCTTGAGTCCTATCTAAGAGGTGATTACGAGGAAATCGTGTTGGCACTCTTAATGACACCAGCAGAATATGATGCCCATTGTCTGCACGACGCCATGGCCAGACTCGGCACTAACGAGACTGTACTGACTGAAATCCTCAGCACCAGGAATGACAAGGTTTTATTTTCATTTAAGTGAACTAGCACTAGTTGTTTTGATACAGATATAAATCTTTGCTATAATAATTCAGCTTACCGTAACATGTTCGTAAGAAGTGTTTGCTTACCTCAGATGATTGATTACTGCAGGCGACTTTTTAAAGCATGTATGACCTCATAAATGCCTTTTAATTAAGAATACTTTCTCAGACCATAATTTACCTTTTTGTTAACATTTGCTCCATGATTTATCTATGTCAGGCATAATATTTGCTTTTATTCATTACAAGATAATTCAGTGGTCATATACACCGTGATCATTAAACCAAATTAAAATGTATGGTAGTATTATGAACATGTTTTATGTCAAGCTCGGAAAGTAGTTGAAAAGTTTGATGTCTCCGTATTGTATAATGATTTCGATGAAAATATGGCAGTAAACACTGTGGGTGAAAAAAAGATGGGAAAATATAGCATAATCGTCCACCAAGGTTGCCGTCGGAGCTGACGTGGGCAATTCATGTTCGGTAGACATAGCTAATAAGTTTACATATTTTCATGATGTTTTCTACCAAACAAATGGACTGTTTCAAATAAAATTAATTTAATGCCATTTTGCTCTCAGTATAGTATAATTTATTGCACTTTTTCCTTTCATATATTTCCGGGTTATATTTTATTTGTGAAACGTCATATCAAAGAGAATTGACGCTTATTTTCATTCTTTCAACGAGCTGCATACTAAGTTTTGTGAAATCAATACATCATAAAAGATTACCTTGACGACATCAACATGTCGTCACTGACTATAGGTCATGGATGAAAAGGAGTAAGGTTTTCTTCAGAAACTGTTGAATGGCACAATGAGCATTTCCCGGGCAGGAATCATTAATCGAATCGAAAATTTGCTCTCCAGACATTATCTATACAAAACCGCCCACTCTTCATATGTCAATAAAAGTTAATGATCACGCATCGTGTTGTCTAGAATGAACAACATCCTTGTAGTGTAGAGAGACGCAATGTCATCAAGCGTGTTATTTAATATAACTCTCTTCAATATGCAAGATAGATAAAAATGAATGGAGCTGACAGGATGGCATGTTTTTGGTTAAGAGCAATGATTGTACCAAACACGACCATTCACTAGTAGGTCACCGGTGGCCTAGTGGTTAGAGCGTCCTCCTTGGATGCGGGAGGTAGTTGGTTCGAATCCCGATAGAGTCATACCAAAGACTTATAAAAATGGTTCTTGCAACTGCCTCGCTAGGCGTTCAGAATTAAGAGGTTAGTTAGTGTAAGGGCTAGTCCGCCTTGTGTCAGGATAATGTAACAGCGTTGGACACGATGATATCACATGACTGCGGCATGATGCCCCACTGCTAAACATCACTGTCACACTTCAGACATTTTAGGATATGACTGAAAAATTGTACAATTGTTAAAGCTACATAAAAATTGTTAAAGCTACGTAACAAATCCAACTCAAACACGCTCGTATCCGTTTGAGTGGAATGGTATAAAAATAGAATATATTGGTATTCATAATTAATTCATAATCACGATGCTGTTTAACTATTGCAGTCACTACTACTATTACAACCATCACTACTATATCGATGACAACAAAATGAACGAGAACAAGAATACAATACTCGGCTAAATAATTTTTATTCACATATCTTGAGCAAGGATATATATTATTCACCATGATCCGTGAGTATTGAATACTAACCAGGCATTATTATGAATACATACAAGAAGGATGGAAGAAGAAAATAGTATTTAACACTGAGTGTGATCTATCGAATTATCTCAGAACTCGTAGCACCCATCCCAACACACACACACACACACACACACACACACACACACACACTATTGACTTTGTTTTCAAGTGCTAGCAATAACATAATTACATCAAGAGACATTTTTGTTTTGTCACAGTGAAGGTATACATAGGCTTAAATGGAACACTTCACAATTTACCAAGCACTAGCGTAAGTCCGTATCTTCTTCGAATCAACAGCCATCAGCTAGTTTTTAATGCATGTTACGTTCACCACTAAACATAAAACACTGGTTTTTACATAGTAGATTCTTGACTTTATTTTGAAAGGTATGTTACGTCTTTAAAAATAAATTTTGATTTAATTTGCATTGTTTGACTTCGAGTAACGTCGGTGATACAAAATTTAAAAAACAATTTATCTTAACATTGATATCAACGGCAAAGTATTTTACTGCTAAATGTCATAACAAAGCCTATAGTTTTGTCTCAGTTATTATTGCATGTCTTCTTTTCAGTGTATTAGTAAAACTGGCATGTAGAGGAGGATTTTATGTTGAGACAAATGGCACACATTATTATTTTGTACAACATGGTCAGCTGGGCTTTGTTTCGCCTTGATTCGAGTGATTCCTCATAGGAGATGTTTCAACATTGCACTGACACTGCTAGTGTTACCATATTTTTTTCTGTGGTGAATCTAGCAGCTCTCCTCTGAACCCTCTCGATCTTATTTATTAGATCTTTATTATGTGGGTTCCTCACAGTCGAGCAATGCTCAAGACCTGGTCAAACCAGAGTGACATATGCTGCGCATTTTACTTCATTCTTGATTTGGAGGTTGCGGCACAGGAAACCATGGCTACCGTTCCCTTTTGGCATTGTTCTTGTTAGTGTTAATATACAGCAACCGCTGTTTAATATTTTATAACAAAGCTTTTGAGCAGGATACAACCTAGGGTATTGCTGAAATATTTGCCACAACAATTATAACATTGGAAATAGAGATTTAAATGTTTTTATAAGGCTGGACTTTGAAATATGAAATAATGCAAAAGCTCAGAAGCGATGTTTTCTTAGCACTACAACCTGCAACAGCCAATCTTTAACAAAGAATTGTCAGTTTGGTTCTAGCGTGGGTACTATATGAGTATTACATTTATTAATTTATTTATTTTTGACGTATTTTGTGGGTTATGGTCCTAATGATCATTTAAGAGCTTGCTGAAGAAAACATGACATAAATAAACATCTTTATCGACCGTCCTTATCGGCATGTTGCATGATTGTGCGTGATGATAAGGACAAATATTTGAGTGTCCCAAGGCAGGGAAACAATTGGAGTAGTTATTCAAGTGCATCGTTAAGACATCATCGTTGACACAGCACTTCACATTTATCAAGATGTTTTAACTTGCTAGCATCTTCACGTCTATTGACTAGGATTACCTGTCAAAAAGGAATAAGTTAAATATTGTTTTTTAAAAATAGCCGTATAAGATTGATGAATGATTTTACGTCTCGAATCTATAAAAAAAATTAAATTTCTTTATTCTCAATTATTTTTCTAAAGCTTTGTTAATATACGTAGGTTTATTGTTGTAACATTCATGAACAGTATTTTTCTTATAAAACAAAAAGGAATTCTTTACAAAGAATGTCAGCAAATCTAATTTTGTTCTATGAACAAGATTTTGTTGAAAAGTGGAGGAAACCACGATAGTTAATAAATGCAAGATCCCACAGCCTGCCGATGATACACAGACGCTAAGGGACTAGAATGATTAGGAGGAGTTTAAGAAATATTTTGACAACGATATCGAAACCTCTAATGACACCGAATGCAAGAGTTCTATAATGGATAATGCCATGAGATCATCGAAGTAGGACAATTATACTACTACGCCAGCTTGAGGGAAATTAGGCGTGGAATGGTAGTGTTGTTTTGAACACATTAATAATCATTTGACACAGTCTGTTATTTGCCCCCAAAGTGTTATTCTTAATTGAATATTTGTGGTCATGGAGTGATATTGCTTTTTCGATGAAAATTGAAATGTTTATGAGCAAGGAAATGTATTTGCTTTAAGGAAATGCTACCTCATAGAAAACCAGAATCAATAAATTTTAAAAAATAATAATATTAAGAAATAAAAGAAGAATACTAATACAGTTTTATATCGTCTTTGCGAATGGATATTTTAGACTGAATTCTCAACAAGCAACTGAGATGTCAGTTTGCACCGGACATGGACGGGCTAAACTTGTATTATTTAGTTGCTGCCCTTGTGGTAAATGCTAGTAAAAACTACGCGTTAGTATAATGCATTGATGGCTGCAAGAAGAGGTAAACTAATTTGCATTTTGCAAGTATAATATTGGCCTTATTTTGAATTGTATACAAGCAATTTTGTCTGCTTAAAAACATCTGCTATGACGCATTTGTTGGCCTTTTGCTATTGATGCAAAACACGAGGGTGATTTGGCTGAGTATGCTGGCACAATGCATGCTACTTTCCAGCAGAAAGTTTCTTATTTAGGGTTTGAACTACATACCTAACTTTATTGTGTTACACTCTCCAGCTAGCACCAATCTTTACGTTTCCTTGCAGCAATTAGAAACAGCGTCTTTCGTGGTACACTTTGCAGAAATTATTTGTACATAAAATAAATAATGGATGGTTGAATCGCATCATAAAAGGGTTAGTATTCGAATGCATCACTAACATAACACAGAGATGTAGAAAGTATCAGTGATCTGAAGTCTAGAACCACAGTACATGACAACATTATACATTTATGGTATATTTGTGTTTATTTTGCCTTAATGCATACTGCACACAAAGTTTTCGTGGTGGATTTTATGATGGTTCTTGTAAAATACCCATAAAATACTTAGCCATAATTCCTCTCATCGAAAAGCTTAAACAACTGTTTTCAAAAGAAAGATGATTTTGTTTGTACTGTCTTATAGAACGTAAAACGGATAAAGAGTGATTGAGCTACATCATTTAGGGTATTTTTCATGCACGTGTGTAATGTATCAATGTATCCATATATCTCGATTACTCGACTTGTTAGCATATATATATATATATATATATATATATATATATATATATATATATATATATATATATAGATATATATATATATATATATATATATACATAGCTTCTGGTTCTGGTAATTAGTCAGGCAGAAACGTTCAATGTTATTATTAGGAATAGTTGAATGCCGTTTCGAACGATTGTAGGTCACAAACGTTTAGATAACTTTCAGATCTTCACTCTTTATTGTTTATATATATATATATATATATATATATATATATATATATATATATATATATATATATATATATATATACATCAACACGTTTTACGTTTTGGTTTTGCTTGACACAATCACATTATGCAATTATATTCAACATGCTGTCTTAAATCTATGTATTAATTTTTATTAATTTTTACAACATAGAAGTGGTTTTGTCAAGTGTGCTCGCTAATGTAATGCATCTGTGTGTAAGAAGTGGTAGGAAATTGTAGAGAGAAAATGATGATAATAAAGCAAGTGCAAGATAGGCTTGACTATTCATGGAATAATATCTGAATTTTTGATGGAACTGTGTAAATTAAAGTGATGTAATAGTTACAGCCTGCAAAGCTCTAAGACTTGGAAAGAAAATGATTGGGTAATGTCAGTTGTGACCTAAGATGAGTGAAACTGTCTAGTTGTTTTTCCATCACATCCATAGGACATAATTCTCAACTAAATATTTTCTAGTCTTGGACTAACAGTGCTTTCGGGGTGGTTTCAAACTGTCCAAACAAGTCATTATAATGTATCCAAAGACATGTTAGGTCAACGAAACGTTAATAATAAGATACATCTATTACCAGTACTTATTTATATTATTGATATTAGTTTTCATTTAGTTGCAAACAAAATAATAAGAAATGCGCTTTGTTTAATTATTTCCTTATTATTCTTGTTTCATCATTTTTCTCCATGTGCAGCATTTTTGTAAGACAGACAGCGTGATTAATTGTTAAGTACGCAAATATTTTCTGTTTTTGGACACTAATATTCTTCTTAAAATCTAATGATTTTTTCATTTAAATCGATGTGAAGATCATTTTGAACAGAGAAAGTATATACTTCAGAATTCTCCATCTATGTATGACTGTTCATGTTTACTCAAATAAGATGGCTACCGATAAACTCAGCAAGTGCTGAGAAATATGATGTAGAGCAGGCGCTTGTTTTCTTATTTCTCTGGAGGCATTAACATGCTATGACTAAGAATTAGTTTACATTATTTATGTTTGTTTTCTTCTGGAAAATCTTGTGGACTGTACGAAATATATACGAAGCTTTATATATGTCGACACATAATGCATAAGCATTGCCAGTGAAAATAATAATACATGTACCA